CCGTCTTGCCGTCTCCATCCATGTCAACAGGAATGGGACTGCAGTACGACTTGAAGTTGGGATGCACAAACGGGAAGCCGATTTCATCTTCACCGTTTACACCGTCAAGAGCCTCGAAATACTGTGTGTACGTCGGCACAAGAATCTCCTTGTTTCCGTCGTGATTCAAGTCGACGATGCGTGGTGTGGCAAACACACTGCTGCCCACCCGTGCCGTCCACTCCAAATACACACCGGAGCGGCACGTGTTGGATTCGTTGCTGAGTGGGCCAGAAGACACGGTTTCTGGAGCCATCACCTCCTCCGGCAGCAACTTACGGAGTAACGGCTTTTTAAACAGCGGCTCCGCCCATTTTACAGGATCAGCGCTCACCGCCACGGCCATCATGACTACAAAAACGATGGTGGCTTTGATCGCCATTCCTGCAGCAGCGCAGCCACGTGAAGCAAAAACCTTAGTTCCCAGATGTGACATGCAATGTTTCATTTCCCAATAAAAAATTTCGTTCCTTTTTCTGTTTATTCCTCTCTTTCGCACGCAATCCAAGACAATAAAACAAGACAGAGAGCACAGTAAAAAAAAAAAAAAAAAAAAAATAGTTAATTGTAATTGCGTGCGCCCAACCTTACACCAAAGCCGTTTGAAGGTTTCTCCGGGCACCCTTCAATCAACAACGGGAAAAGGAAAAAGGAACTAACAAATCCTGATGGGCAGAGGGAGCGGCGGAACAAAAGAAGAAGGCTCCACCTCGCGGGGATACCGGGGGAGGGGTGTGGGCAAACTCACCGACCCTCTCACAGAAACACGAGGAGACAGCAGGAGCATTCAACACGCGGTAACTCTTCTCCCACTCCTGGCCTCGCAAAACTTTCTTCATAGCGCCTCACACGCAAATTTGCTTCTCACTTTTTCATTTATGACCGTGAAGGAAAACTCACTGCCGCCAAACTATGAATGAGCAAATAAAAACGTGGCACAGAGAAAAAGAGGTTACCGCAAAAAAACAAAAAACAAGAACAAAAGAGAATGTGTAATATGCTCGACAGCAAAAGCGTGGTTGACGTTTTTGTTGTTCTCCACCTACTTACCCATCCCCACTTCCTCACGACTGCTTTTGCTGCTGCACCCCCAATTTTTATTCTTATGCAACCCGCAATTCATTTATTTTAAACTTTAATGGTACGCTGTAACCGCACACCAAACCCACAAACAAAATTAAAAGTCTTTTCTTTTCTCACGGTTTCACAAATAAATCCGATGGCTCGCACGCCGTACGGCAGCACGCGCCCCTACACCTCATGGCGTTACAACTGTGCCCCAGCAAGACGCGGCTGTTGCTGGCGCTGGTCGAATACCGTCAGCCCCGTGCCAACAGCAACAATCCCGTGAGGGAAACATTGCTGGCTCCTGGCTTCCCCCGACAATACGGGGCAATCGACCCTGGCACCACGCTGCGGCGGCCGGCATTGCCAGGCTCAACGTTAGTAGAGCTGTGTTTCAAATGGGGGCGGCTGCAACAATGTGGCACCCCTGTTTTTATTCTTCCCGTTTCTCGTGAGTGTCATCTCTCCCACTAGATCTCTGCCTCGCCCGTCGTTGCTGTGGTGGTGTAGCTGTTACTCCTGTGCTTTGGTGTGAACCGGAACTTTTCACCAGCCGGACCGAGCAGCATCTCACTGATGCGAACCCAATCGTTCACATTGTCGCTTGCCATTAGCGTCTCCAATTCGTCTCGGCCCTCGTAATGAGGCGGTCTCTCATTGATGCGCTGCGGCGGGCATTCAAGCAGCCCAAGAGGGACGTAACGACACAAGAATGAGAGCCACTCGCAGAGAAAACGACGTGTTGTAAGAACCCCGCGTTCATCTGATCCCCAATGAGACAAGCCATAGTTACAGAAGCTTCGCAGCATTTCAAAACGCTCTTGACTGCTGATGTCTCTCGGCTGCTCTTGCTTTATTTCCTCAAAGATCCATGGCTTAATGAGCGCCCCCCGTCCAATCATGTATGAGCTGACATGCGGATAGCGTTCGCGGTGGCCAATGATATCCTCATAAGAGAAGATGTCACCATTGCCAATAACAGGCAAAGAGGTCCGTGCGGCACAGCTGTCAATGTATTCCCAGTTTGCTAGCTTTGTGTAGCGCTGCGCACGAAAACGACCATGAATGGTAACCGCGTCTGCACCCCATCCCTCATAATCGCCAATTTTCTCGTGTAGAGAAGCATTGCTGTTTGCGCCTGCTCCTATACGACACTTGATGCTGACAGGTTTTGACTGGTGTTGCACCAGCGAGCTCACAATATCCCGCAGGCGGTTGTCTCTCCGTTCCCAAAGACCACAACCACAACCAGCAGACATGATCATCTGGACTGGACAGCCGCAGTTGATATCAATAAAATCATACGAATAACCCGAAGCTTCGATGGCCTTTGCCCACGTCTGGGCGCTCTGCGGCTGTGACACGGCAATCTGCAAACCAAAAACGTCTTCCGACTCATGACGTCGCAGCAGTGACCACTCACCTTTTTGTAGGCGGTTGAGATTGGACACAAGGGACATCGAGCTCACCGTGATATCTGCCCCATAGCCTTTACAGACGCGACGAAACGGGAGGTTCCCAACGGTGGTGAGGGGCGCCAGCACAAGTTTATTTTTAAATAGCGCTCGACGCCGGGCAGCATTTTCACGCACGTTTTCTTCGCTTTGTTTCGTTCTTGCAAGGTCACTGTTTCTCGTGGCATCCCTCTCATCCTCCTCGTTCTTCTGCAATACAATCTCATCGGCGTGGCTGTCAATGGAGTTGGCAGCAGCAGCGTCTTCTTCATTCAGTGGTGCCCCATCAACAGTCGCCTGTGGTGTGCTTATCTCCTTTTCCTGTCTCCCTCCATCGCGACTGCGCTTTGCCGCTGCGTTACCCTGCCGCACCACCGCCTTAATACGCTGCAGGGTTTCGCCGTAAAAGAAGTTTGACTCCCCCTCAAATTGTGGGCGCTGAGTCCCCTCCACGAAGCAGGAATGCTGCCGCTCCATCCCTTTATTCATTCCTCGAGTGCGTCCCTCCGCATCAAGCGTGACGCGTATCGGCGCAGGACGAAGATACTCCGCCTTCACGCGACACACTCCGGGCAGAGCAGTGCCGCCAGCGCTGAGCTCGCTCATACACGCCACCTTCACGCGCACTTTTATTCTCTTTTAGTTTTTCTCCTTTATGCGCAGCGACTTCCTTTTCGTGTTATAGTTTTCTTCTTCGTCGAGGAAGAAAGATCTTCACTTCAAACACAATATATATATATATATATACATATATATATATATAAATCAGAGAAGCAAGCAACACTTTTCTTCTTCCAACGTTCCAGGTGGAGCACAAAAATAAACAAATTGCCTGCGTACTAAAATTTAAAAGATTAAATGGAACTACAACAACAAAAATTCGCAACCTTTTTCCTGAGGCGTGTGACGACTCCTCCAATTAAATGCTTCTCTGGCAGCTCTCAAGAATGGCGTCTCCGTGAAGATGCCTAGCAGCCACGCAGAGAAAAAAGGTGGAATCCCACTTGGAAAACGCCGATCCACCAAAATTAAAACAAAAACAAAACACACACACACACACAAAGAAAAACAAAACAACTCCCGTTTCTAATAAAGTTGTGCCTCCTTTGTGCAATTCACAGTCAGGGGGTATTAGAATGGGAATGTAGAAACGACAGAGAGCCCTTCTATAATGCAAGAGGACTGCTCTGAAAACGACAGGAAAAAAAAAAGCCGCTTATTATTTCTGTTGGCAAAGAACTTTTTCACATCCTTAAACATGGATGGGGGTTGAAGGTAGAATGAAAAAAAAAAAAAAAAAAAAAAAAAAAAAAACGGGAATCCAACGCATATATATATATATGTATATATATATGTATACTGACACGCTTATCTGGGAGGTCAGGAAGGCATGCCATATTCTGGAAAAAATAAAAGGTCCCGTTTCCAAGGTAAAAAATATAACCAAACAAACATTCAAAATAAGGAATTTGACTCGCGGATGCATTGTTCTGAAGGCTATTCCCGTTACAACACTAATGTGTATCTGAAAGCAAAGTAATCAATTGCTCTTCTGTAAGAATGTTTCCCCTTTGCTCTTTCGCTGAGACACAGTCCGTCTTTTTTTCCCTTTCATTTTTTAGAACTTGATGTGGACCTTTGGTATCGCTTAGGAAAGCCGGACCCTTATCCATTTTCTCGGACATTTGTATTTGTTGTGTCCTGGAATCAACCATATCACATACCAAAAAAAAAAAAAAAAAAAAAAAAAAAAAAAAATGCTACATTCATTTTATCGGGATATATGTCAATTTAGGTATCCAGCCCACTAACAAGCATTTTTTTCACAAACTCAAAACAAAACAAAACAAACAAGAAAATCCATCCATTAAATGAATTTCCCCCCCACAATTCAGTTGACGTCACATAAAATCATCTCAACATTTTCACATCAATACCAGTCATTTTTTTTCATCTTCATTACCCAATTCTACATCTTTTGCCAGCTGGGATAGGTCCATACCAATATTTGAAGGGCCAAATTTAAGAGGAATAATGTCGCAGAGTTTTACTAATTTTACACGCTCCTTGTCAAGGGTAACCAATACGACGAGAAAATCCTCGTAGTTGTTGGAGAGATCGGCAACTTCAACAAGCGACTGACGACAAAACCCACACGGTGGTGTGACTGTGTCAGGAGGAGGTAAATTCATAACATCCGGGGCTTTACTACATCCATATACAGCAACTGCAGTTGCAGTGCGCCGTCCTTCGGAATTGCCCTTCACAATGGCACAAAGCTCAGCACAACAACCTTTCAAGGTGCAATTTTCATAGTTGCATCCTGCAGTAATTTTGAGATCCTTGTGAAGAAGAGCGGCCCCCACGGCAAATTTTGAGTATGGACAGTAAGCGTTGCGGTGAGCATTGATGGCGCAACGAGCTAGGCGCTGCAACTCCACCGGTATTTGCGCAAGAGGTGTTAGGGTGTTCAGCGTTAGTCCCGCCGGTAACATGATGGTCGTTTCAAGTAATAAAGGCTTTCAGGTACAAATCCCAACTATAGACAGAAGAAACAGACGCAATTAACAGCAATAAACAACAACAACAACAACAACAACAACAACAAAAAAAAAAAAAAAAAAAAAAAAAAAAAAAAAGAAACAAGACGTTTACAAATTCCGAAAGCTTTTAAATATTTATTTATTTTGTCTTAAAACTAATAAAAGCAACATAAAACAAGAATAGCAAAGACACTTCGTATATTCTCGGCGTTCATTCTATATTATAGTTAATATAAAGCACCATCTGAAGGCTTTAACCATAAACGTCTTGGCTTACACCAGCGCGCCCCACAGAAAAATATAAGTAATGCTTCTACTACTTTAGCCGAGACACACGAAAACGATAAGGGTTTCAGTTTCGTGGGCGTAAAAATCACAGGTTACAGGAATGGATCAAAAACTGTTTCAACATCCATTTCTCTGACAATTGTGTCCTCTTTTCCCCACAAAAGTTAAATGCTCAACTCCTCTGGCATCGTGGGTGCTAAGTATTTTGCCAAGATCCAAGAAGGACAGCCCATTAAGTTCTCCAACAATTATGCCCTGATATATTTCTTCTAAGGTTTTGATGCCAAAAACATGGTCAGGTGAATTCGCGGCATTTTAGTAATTCCCTCCTTTCATCCCTTCTTCAATCCGAGAGGGAAGCAGACGGTCAGTTGGTGGCACCAGTGAAATACTAATTAAATTTAGCTCTGGAATTGGTGGAGATGGATTTTTATAAACAACACGATAGAAGCAGCCTCTACTACCAACATCCCCAGCAAACCGTTCCTCACTTTTTAAAGAACCAAAAAAAGCCACGCACAATGGTTCCTCTGCAGCTTCCAATAATTCCGAGTAAAAAAAGAAATGCACCAGATTCATTCATAATTAGTACGGTTGGTATATATAAGAAAAGCAATTGGTAACCAAAAAAACCATTGTGCCAATTTTACCCAATAACTTCAGTACCCAACGGGAAAAATACTATAGGGTGACATGACCATAGAGATCCTGATGTTTTTATAAAACAAACTCCTTTTTCTTTTGTATATTGCTGAAAAATTTAAAACTCCAAGTGGCATTCATACCAACAGCCCAAGGCCGCTCAAACCCTCAATGCATCTGCCAAAACATCCAATGCCGTCTCAGCTGGAATGGCGGCAAAAACCCAATTAATAAACTACTTCTTTGTCACTTTCAAAACAACAATGGTGATAATACCAATCAATATAAGAACTGAAAATAAAATTATAATTCTGTCGGTCATCATGCGTCGAATAAACGCCGTAAGCTCTTTCTTTGCACGATTCACATCCGAATCCAATTCATTCAAATTCTCGTTAACCCGCTGTATTTGTTCCGTCTGGCTACGAAGCTTCGCTGCAGCATCTATGCCGACTGTTTCTGTATCATTCAAAAGTCTTTCTGTCATTGCTAATGAACCCAATGTAGAGGTTTGAATAGTATTAACACGTCGTGCCACTGCTCGAGCTTCGTCTTTTCCGTCATTACTTGGTGAGTTTGAGGAAAAAACAGAGTTTTCCCGGGCTGCGCTAAAAGGCGTTTCTTCTACTTTTTTCGACTGCAAATCCATTTTCAACTGATTAATTCTAAGCAGATGTATTTGCCCCCGCTTTTCATAGACTTCTTGCTCATTACCCTCCAGCAAGCGCACTTCCACTTTAAATTGGTGGTGCGTTTTGTGCAATCGCTTCATAATATCTTGAGCTTTGTTATATTTTTCAAGCCTTTGATCAAGATTGGTGGCTGAATCCAGTGCTCGAAGAAGTGAGCTTATTTGTTCTTCAAGCCCCTTCAGCTCCTCATCATACATAGCAACATCCGACATGCTGGATCTAAATAAATATATGGATTCCTTATGCAAAAAAACACGTAAATAGTTCCACTCCAATAAAAAGACGAAAACAAAAACAAATGAGTAAGATAACAATAACAACAGCAACGAGAAACAAAAACAAAAACGGCGTGGGCAACAAGTGCGTTTACAAAAATGAGGCAACACACACACATATATATATATGCACGCGCGCTCGCCCCTGCTCGTGTGTTCCCGAATGGTTTGGCAGCCCGCACGCGCTGGGGAGATGCGCGGCCCCGCGGTTCGCGACGTCGTGGCCCGCCTCGGCGGAAGCGGCGGGGGCGGGTCGCTTCCTTCTCTCGCGGCCCCAATCATCTCGGAAAGGCGTTCGCCTCTCGATGCGGGCCGGAAGGGAAGTTTGGAGCACGCATTTTCCCGGGCAACTCAAACTGACGAGGACGATTTTGTGCTTTCCGAAGTTTTTAGCGTAGTCATGGCGACGGAATTAGGGTCTTCCACGGCTGATTGCTTGGATTGGGCGATTCGGATGAATAGAATGACGTTATCGCGAATTCAGAGGGCGGAAAGGCTGAGTGACTTTCCCTTATCGTCCGGTTGTGGTGGACACGATGCTAATTGCGCTTTGCAATCTAGCGCAAATTTTCCATTAGAAACCATTTTGCAGATAGCACATTTTCAAAACAAAAAACATCAATTGTTATCCGTTTGCTTCCTTGGGCAAAAAGCCAATAATCTTTTTTAGAGAAGTTACAAAAGATCGAGAATACAAAAGGGATATGTATTTGTGTTTATTTTTCTTTTGGGATGATCCCTGGGCTGCGTATATTCCCATCTTCTTTTATTGGAGTGTCTGTGTGTGGTGCTTTCAGGGAATATACCGTATATTTGGTTGCTGGAAGTATTTTGGCAGTGTGAGGAAACAAGGACAACGAAAAAAAGAAACGAGAGAGAGAAAAAAAAAGAAGACTGGACGTCTGAGTCTGTGGATGACGAAATCATTGAAATCTAAATGAAATATCCTGCTTAAAAGGATGATTATTTCTAATTGCTAATTTTTTCTGAGCAACCTTGCAGTTGTAGCACGCCGAAGTTGGGGAAGTTGGTAGTTGTGCCTTTTGACTATTTTATGGATGGCGAAATCGGAATTTACTTAAATTTGCAACATATTGCACATGGTCTTTTGAGGGAATACATGCATATATGAAGAACGGCTATTTTTCACATTTCTCTCCACTTTTTAGTTTTTTTTTTTTTTCTTTGTACAAGATGGTCATGTCTCTTGTTTTTTTTTTTTTTTTCTTGTATGTTTGAAATGGCGACGGCAAAGGCGAGTGAAATAGAAAAGAGTTTTTATCTGTGAAATTAATTATACCTTTTTATCCATGTAAAACGAAAATATGTATTTTGTTCAAATGATGTCTCAAACACATTGGGGGCTTTCCTGCGCAAAAACTAATTTAATAAAGTGTAGTAGACTGATTTATACTTTTATTAGTTCAAGGAAAAATATCAGTATGGCTTTATGAGAGTTCAATTTATAATAATAATAACAATGATAATATTAATAACAATTCTTTTTCTTTTCTTTTTTTTTTTTGGACTTTACATATATTGTTTTTTTAATTAGAAATTCGTTTTTTTTGGTTATATTTGAGTTTTTTTCCTTTTTTTTTATGCCTGATTCTCTGGTGCTTTTTTAGTCATTATATATATATATAATTTAAAGTGCACATAGGAAAAAATGTCTCTGGAAATTAATCGCCAGTTTTTGATGGGTGATGGCTCGACAGTAAATGAACCAGTGATACCTTATATTTCTATAGATACAATGAAAATACTAGAGGCACACAAAAAACCTTATTTAACTAAAGCAGAGCATGTGAAATTTACTGGTGAAATTAGTTGTTTATGCACAGTGGGTTCCACTATATGGGTGGGTGAAGTGTCAGGGAAGGTAAGTATAGTGGAAGTAGATACCGGAAAGTTTCTTAATATCGTATTAGATCACAGAGGTGCGGCTGTAATCGTGATGCGTACAGCCCGAGGTTATGTTTGGGCCGGGTTTGCGGACGGCTATTTGCGTGTTTTTAATTCATTAACCATAGATCTGGTGTTTGAAAAAAAATTTCATAAGGATTGTATCACCGACATTGCCTTATCACAAAATTGTGACACAGCGTATTCCTCTTCTCTAGACTCGTATGTATGTTATTGGAACACATCTTTTTTTGCAGTTGAAAGCCCTCGAGTGTTGGGTGATTGCAGAGGTGCTGTGCGTTCATTGGTTCTTTTTCATGATATTTTGTTTTCTGGTGGTGATGATTCAAAAATCATTGAATGGAATACAGTTTCAAAGGAACGGAAGCATGTTTTGGCTGCCCATTCTGCACCTATTCTTGTCTTAACCATTTGCAATAATTTTTTATGGAGCGGGTCGGAAGATGGGGTTGTGTGCATATGGAGTTTATCCGACTTGGATGGTGGATCACCAGAGTGCATTCATATGATCACAAATCCTCATGAAGGCCCTATAACAATTTTGAAGACTGTGGGATTAAAGGTTTGGTCTGTATCAATGGGTCAGGTTTACATTTGGAATTCTTCTTCTTTTGAATTAGAGGTGCATTGTCGATTAAGCAAAGAGCACCATGCCTTTTTAAATGTAATGGAGACTGTGTCGCAAGCGTTTTGTAGCAAGACATGGATTGCTTATAAAAACACTGGAGATATTACTATTGTTCAATCTGATGACCTTTTACCTTTGCCGCTGCAAAATCTGTGTTTTTGGGGCGATGTGAAAGATACTAAAGATAAGGATCAGCTTATTGACCAGCTTCTCGAGTCTCAAAAATCACTAACTTCTGAAGTTTTAGTCTTGCGTGCGAAACTTGCAACATTAACGCCTCAACAATGTCAAAAAGAGGCTACTGACAGTTTTGAGCTGGCAAAAAGTGACGGAACAGAAAAAGCGACTTTATTAAATGCCGTTCCGAAATCTTTTTTTTTTGCTTCTAATGAAATTAAAGATAATATGACCAATTTGACCTCGTTGAGGTCAAATAAAGACGATCATGGTTTATCCAATATTCCTTTTTCTATTGAAGGAACAAATTATTCAAATTTCGCATCTCATATGCCTCGATACGCCATGGTTGATACTCATGCGTTGCTTGAAAGGCTGATTTACCTCCGTGAACAGGTCGGGGAAATTATTGGCTCAAGTGAAGTTTTGTATGAAAATAACTGTTTGTATTTGACTGATGAAAAGGGTCGGCCACCCATTCCGATTGGCTTTATTACCCTTGCTGAGCTTACGGAGAAGGAGCGTATTACATTAATGAATATATGTGGAGGATCACGTCCGCCGTTTTTGATTCCGGCCCTAACTCCCACGAATCAGGCGGAGATTTGTCAATTTATTGGGAGTATTACGTCTAGATTGCGTGGATATCGCTCTATACCGTCTTTGGCTTCATCGGAAAAACGAATATTAATAAATGATTCTAGTAACAGTGTCCATGAACTGGGCAAGTCAACAAAGTATCTTCCTTTTTTTGAGTCAGAGCCGGATGACGTTGGTTTTCCGCTACTATCATTTTATCTAAATAAAATTATTTGTGAAGTAATGATGGGGGCGCGGCGAATTTCTCAAAACTACAACTCGCGATTGTCAAATAAAAGGGTGGATTCTATGGGAGATGCGTTTCAGGGCTTGAAAGAAGGAAAAGATGCAGGGCAGAAGCCATCATCACTACCATATGGGATAAAGGAAACCGAAAGCAATGAAGGTTTAGCTTTTTTTTCTCCCGATGTGGATGTCTTGTCTTTAAAAGAGCACGTTTTGCCATTGAATGATGGACCGCAGTCTAAGGGGAGCGATGATGATGGAAGAAACGCGACTCTAATGCAGCGAATAACTTTTCTAAAACGCCAATTGGTAGGGTGCGTTACTTCACATTCATCCAAACAGGTTAAGACCTGTGCTAGGAATCTTCCACCCTTAACATACACCGATGAATTTTCTGATATAGAAAGTGAAATGGAAGAGCTTAGTGCGATTTCTTTTGGCCTTATAAGACGATTGTGTCGGCTTGTGGAGAAATTAGAGACCGAGATGCAAGAACAGAAGGTATTGAAGAGCATTTTTGGAGCTGTTGATGAAAGTTGTAGGAAGAACCACACAGATGACACCCGTCAACAGTTTCCGGGTCTAGTCTCCTTATTCAACAGGATGCAGGAGAACAACCTTGTTGCTCACGAATTTGTTATTCAGTACCTCTTGGAAGTGGGTGGACAAATTGCACTCCAATACGGGTGCCTTATGGATACACTGTTGCAGCGTCAAAATCCCTCTGCGCATTCCTCAATTTCCTGGGGATATGAATCAGGGCGATGCAATGTCCAATCTTCTTCCTTATTGGACTCCTTGAATGAGTATAGTATACTCGTTGAAAAGGTTCACGCGGTGGAGGCAGTGTTTTTTGCGGACCGGACATAAATTGACGTGAAGTAAAGGACCCATGAATACATGCGCAAAGGAGGCAGCAAAAATAACAAAAAAGGAAAATGAGTAACGTATTTGTAGTTAGAATGGTTCCCAATTTATTATTATTATTATTATTATTATTATTATTTCTGTTTTGGCGCTTATGTTTCTTTCCAATTTTGTTTTTTTGCGAATAACAACAACCGAAAATATATTCTTTTCTTTTTAGTTTCTTTTTCCTTGGTTTTTTTGGGCGTTTTTAGCCGCATAATTATATTTGGGCAGCCGGGTTTTTGTTCACTGAAGGATTTATTTATACGTGCTGACACACAATATAAATATATATTATATGAATAGAGGGATGGCACAAGCAGTTTACGCCACGCTTCTTCTAATTTGTCTTCTTGCTGCACATTCTGCAGCGGGCATATTTATCGTGGACTCCCGCCCAAGCGGCGAGTACTGCGGAGGTTACATGAGCCTTGTGAATGGACGCATCACTGTCCATCCGGCTACCAGTAAATTTGATATTTCGTTGGATGTCTTTGGCGAGAAATATTGCTGCAAGGAAGAGAAATACTCGTACAACGAGACGACCGGCCAGATGTTTCTGGATGGCGTGAATGACCCCAATGACTGTCTTGGCACTATTTTGAGAGACAACGGGCTGAAACTCAGTGTGACTTACCTCCAGGGTGAAGACGTAATTTTACTGGACTTTGATGTTGTCACTGTCAAACTCTCACGGTGCTCGTGAACGCCACGCAGCGTGACGAAACCACCATGGTTAAAAAGGAAGGTGAACCACGAGTTATTGTGGAACACGTAGGGAACAACCCCAGCGAGAAGAGAAAAATGTCTGAGTGTCAGGAACCAAAGCATGAATAGCAAAATGCGGGCAGTGAAAGAACAGTGGGATTCAGTTGTACTCTGTTTTACAGGGTTTTGGTGCATCAAGAAGGCAGAAGAAACGAAGGAATTTGAGATAATAATTGAGAGGAAAAGGAAAGAAAAAGAAAGAAGATAAAAAATAAAATAGTCCAAAAAGAGAAGTGAAAAAACAAAACAAAACAAAACAAAAACAAGAAAACAAAAAACAAATGCTCCTTATATTTTAGAAACGCTTTTTTTTTTCTTTTTCCTTTCATTCATTTGTGCCCTGGTTGCTTCTTTTTCCCTTTTTTTTTGTGAAGGCCTTCTGCATTATGGAACGACGCATTATGGAATGACGTTTGAACTGCAATATATCTCTACATTATTTGGATTTCTTTTTTTTTGTAGTTGTTTTTATTCCGTTTTTTTTTTACTGCTCGTGAGTAACCGCGAAGAAAAGAGAAATTGAGAGGGATGCAGAAAGAGGCAAAGTCAATTTCATTATATTGCTGTGGCTTTTTCCTTCGCCCAAAAACACACACGCACAAATACACAGTTTCTTTTTTTTTTCCTGTTTTAAATGCCTGTTGTTTGATTACTTTTGGCGAACTGCATTTTTTTTTTCTTTCTCTCTTTTGCCCCTCCATGGCACTCGGAAAGAACAACTGCAAAAGAACGAATAGAGGGTTGGGTATCTTTGAGTAGGGCAGTAGAGATTTGTTTTGGATGTCTGCTGCGGTTCCCCTGGCTGTGAGGATTGCCAAGAACCGCCAGCTTAAGTTGCTTGCCGCTCAAAGTCGTCATTTGGCCGCCCGTTTTAGTGATATCTTTGGTGATGCTTCTGTTCGAACGACCCGTCTTAATGACCGACATTTCGAAAGTACTGTGTTTTATTCTTTTAGTGGTTTATGCACTCTTCGATTGGCTTCAGAGATCGCGGAGAGTTTATCGGAAGCAGTGGAGCGTGTACGTGGGGCTGCACTGGCTTTGTTTTATTCCAAAGCAGACCTACGTCACATGTTGCAGGCAGTGGACTCGGATGTGTTTGCAGAGCTCAACGCAACACTTGATAGCATGGACGCCAAGGCGGTCATTCATCTGGCGCGGGCAAAAAAAGAAATGTTGGACGCTACGGCGGCGCAGTTTATGGTGACAGTGACCGCCCAACTTCCGCTGAAAGATGAGGAGATCACTGAGGTTGGTGAGAGCGGGGGCAAGGAATACAACATCATGACCGATATTGCCATTTGCCGTAGTACTGGACAGTGCCCGCGAGATGCGATCAAAAGGGGGTTTGCATTGTCACTGGCAGAGCTTGACGAGTATGCTGTGGAGGAGCAGCGAAGTAGGGAAGAGGAGGCATGGTGCTACTTACAAAGTGTCCAACGCGACGAACTGCAGCGTGACTGGGAGTCGGTGGCTCTGTCAGTATTTCTTTCACGTTCGTTAGGTGATAGGAATTTAGATACAATAGAATGGCTTCCGCCTTGTGAAGAGACGGACACGGTGCGAGTCGCGTGTTTTTCAAGGAAGGAATCACGGCCGCTTACGCTCACCATCCGGGATGCTGCGGGTAACGATACCCTTTTGACGTTACCACTTCATTCTCCGCCGTTGGCGTTTCAACGTGTTCTGGTAGGAGATGATGATGGCTCTGCGCGAATTGTTCACACATCAGCGCTTGCGTGGCCGGAGAAATGGATTGTAAGTTCAGCCCTCATGCAGCTTTGTACCATCTTGAACGCAAGCGTCCGTGCCCCGGAAACAATTTCATGCGGCACGGGTGGTGTCGCATTTACCTCACAGGAGATATCTTTTCTGTCCGTCCGGTCCTTTGCAGAGGCACACGGCACTCTACCTGTCACTGCCGTGCCCTACTCTATCGAACGGTGCCTATTCATGGTGAACAATCGTGTGGCCTTGTGCTTTGCAAAAAAATATGGGCGAGATTATTTTGGTGGGAGCAGCATGCCACTTATTTGCCTGGGTGTTGTCTCCAATGAAGCGAAAAAGTTGGGGCAGGGGATCCACCTGCAGCTGGAGGTGAAGCCATCGGAGGGTGGGGCAGAATGTCAGAAATACCGAAATTTTGTAACCACTCTTTTGCGTAGGGCGAACAAGGAGGCACTGCGAGGGAGGCATGAAGCGAAGCTGCAGAAAGTTACAGCCATTACAGCTGGTTTACTGGGGCATTTATGGAGGCTTTTTGTCGTCATTGCTGGGCTGGCAGAGAAGGAGGGTATGAATCCCCTGCGGGATATTTCTGTGTGGTCCCCAACTGAAATTCTTTTTAGTGGCAATCAGCAGAAAAAGCAGCAACAGTTGTCGAGCCTTCTTTGCCAACTCTTTGCCGTGGACGCGCAGGTTGTGGAGAAGCCATCATGGGGAGGGAGCCTCCCCAACATATTGCATCTCTCATCGTCATCGCTTGGGGTTCAAGCGCTGCCGGTGTGTCACACCTTTGAGACCCCGGAGATGACCCTCAAACGCTTATTGGACGATGCCTCGCCAAGCATGGCGGAGTTGGTTGAAAGTGCGAGCAAGAACGACCCACGGAGGACGGTGGAGGTGGCGGCACAGCAACGGGAGATTGAGCAGTCTTCCTACTACTGTCCCGATATTCTTCTTATGATTCAAGAGATGCGGCTGGAGCTTCACATGCCCCAGCGGTCGTTTCCAACTCTGGAGTTTTTTCAGAAGGCCGTACACGACGTTCCGCAGCGGGTTCAGGAAATTGCGATGGGCACTTATGGTGATGTGCCCGTCTACACCCGTGTTGTGGCGCACTGGGGACCCAACCTGCGTGTGGAGGTGGAAAGTGACATGATGGGGCTAACGGACAATTATGGTGTCTACCGTTTTGACTCGCCACATCATAATCACTGCGGGCCTTTAGGGCTTCTTTTGTCAGTTGTCTATACCATGTACGAGCGTGTCTTTCCCCATCGCAGGACGGTCCCACTCATTGGTCTCAACTCCCCCAACAGACGTCGTTCAATTGACTTTTTGCTCTATTCGTGGTTTATGGCTTCCCCACAGATCCGATGTTTTGAGATTAGTACCCGTGCCGCACGATTGGCGGCAGCTACGAATGCCATGGCAAAAAGAAGCTCAGATGTTGCGGAGATGACGTTGTCGCATTCAGTTGGAAACTACATCATACGCGCAATGCTTTTCTACGATTTTTGTGGCCAGCGTGTGCTATTTGCTGAGACTCATGCACCCGCTCTCTGGGAGGCTGTGAGGCGTGTTAACGAGCTGGCGGTGTCACTCAACATTCCGAAACAAGACTTTTTTCCGCCAAGAGCAACGACACGGCGTGATTCTCGCAGTTTTTATACCCCACCTGACGGCTGCGATTCGGAAGTTGCATTTGTGTTAAGGGCGTTGATGAGTGCGACTCGTTCCCAGCTCCGTGTGTGTTTTGTGCGCACAAACGACTCTACAGCATTGTGGATAGAGGGAACGATTGAGTTGCAGGTTCCAATTCGGCAGATTCGCTGTGCTGTCTCCGTGACAAGAACAAGGGGTGTAGTCCCGGCACTTGTGCTAGCTTGCCGCGAGGCGTTACGGTGCGCCAGTGATGAGGAAGAAGCTGAGAGATTGCTGCGGTCTGCTCATGACGCTGCTCCCCTCATTCCGCGCGACAACTTTCCACACTTTTCTTCTCGCTTTTACACCCCTGTCAACCTCTTGGGTGAGGTGTTGCAAGGTGTGGCCGGCAAGTACCACTGCACGTACACGATTGACCCAAAAACACGTGAGGTGGTTTGCCTGCTGCACGTGCCCGCAATGGCGGGGTATGGCAATGCCGCGCGTGACAGTGTGCCCTTTCCACTTGGTATAGGCCGGGGTCGAAGCAAAAAGGTTGCATGGGCCGCAGCGGCTTCACAGGCTTTGCAGGCAAACTTTCCAGATGTCTTACCGCAGGTGGAGCGGCACAAGAAGCTTTGCGAGCTTTTACACCGTCCCGATGATTTATCGCGGTTGGGCTGCCCTGAGGGGTTCACAATTGAAGTGGTGCCGGACAGGGAAAAGGAGAGTGGAGGTGGTTATAAGTGCACTGTTATTTCTCGTCAACCATCAAATGTGAGTGACGTGAATACGACGGCAGAGGTTTCAGATGTGGAACAGCCGAAAATTCTTTTTGAATATTCGGCGGATAGAAGTGTGGATGCGTACCTTGCTGCCGCTGACGCCTTGTTGGATCGATTGCAGCAACAGCGACAGGAACGCACTGCTGCTCAGATGGGTGATAGTGTCTTTCATTTATGGGACTTCACCTCTAATTACGGCAAGAGTGTGTGGCACGCTTGCTGCGGCGCATTGGGCGTCGCGTTTGGGGGTAAAGTTTCCTTGCGTTTTGAGGGCGGACGTGAGGATGCGTCTGTTTGGGAAAGCGAGGTGCCGATGCGGGTGCAACTCGTGGTACGTACATGGAGCCCCGCTGACGAGCGCGTCATCGAGACGCCGCTTCATATGCTGAACGAACGGCGCATAATAGGCTATGGTTCTCTCACCGGGCTGTATGAGAAGGGCAAGCCCTCGACGGAGCAGTTAATTTTTGCTTCGACCCACCTTCTGGCGGAGGCCATTATTAGGTATACGGACGAGCACACCAGAAAGTGTCTTCAGCGACTCCTAAATCTTTTTCAGCAACTGAAAGAGGGGGAAAAATGCTGTTCGCGCCTCAACGCGAAGCGCCGTGTGGAGTCATACATGGAATTGACGCTCGGTTGTCAGTGCCGCGTGGTTGTCCGCCAGGCGGCCTGCGGTATGGTGACAGCAGAATTGGGTGCTTGGCTACCAGGCCATTTTCGAGAGTCACGCGTCCCTGTTGTACTCTCTGCTTGCACTGAGAATACGACAGGGAAGGCGTTATCGGGTCTTGAAGAAAGCGTGCGGCAGGTTGTGGAGTCTCTTTGGGCTATCGTGCGACGGTCTTGTGCCTGCTGATTGATGTGGATTTATCCGTCTGCGTGTTCTCTCTTGCGGATCCCGTTGCTGGGGGCGTGGGAGGCTCCACCCAGCATTAAAAATGGAAAAGCTTCACATATTTATTTATTTATTTTTCTCCTTTTTTCTTTTACGGCGTATTAATTAATTAATTTTTTGGGTCCCACTCGCTTGTCGAAAACTAATTTTTTTTTTTTCTATTTTATTTCTTTGCTCTTTTTATTTTTTCATTTTTTATTTGCACCTGGCCGTCACATTTTGGGATGCGAGGGACAGGGTGGACGACGTCATCAACCGCGACGCCCAATGAACACAACGGATGCCACGAACGGCTGTTCCGTATTCAGCGTGTTGTTTGCCCCGGTTAATGGCAGTGCCCGACAGCGACGGCGGTGGTTGTGCGGAAGAATGTACGTTGGGTTTGACAGGACAACGTTGGTGGATGAGGAAAGCCACAAGACGGTCTGCGTCGTGTCGGGAACGGGGATTCGTTCCAACGCGGTGTACGCAATGATGCAGGCGGCGAGCAACGGGGCAGCGTGGCAGGCGGGAACGGAGCTGTCATTGAAGAGGTACGCCGTGCAGATTGAGGAAGCGATGCACCTCCACCTTCTGCCGTATGCAACATTCGACGGCGGTGGCAAGAAGGAAGGAGGGGACGAGGAAGAGGAGGCGGCCGTACGATGTTGGAGTGACGATGATGATTATGACAGGACGGCAGGAATACCAAGAACGGCTGTAGGCGCAGCTGAGGTATTGACGCCATGCCATGTCAACCAGGCTTCTCCAGTCAGTACTGTAACCATTGCTGCTTCTGCTTGCACTGTAACGACTGAAAACGTGCATGGGAATTTTTTGCGCCAAAGGCGTTTGTCTCACGAACTTCTCCGGGAGCTGGAGAACGCGTATCCGCACTTTTTTGCGTGATTACTTTCATTTTTTTTTATTTTGCTCTTTTATTATTATTGTTATTTTTATTGGTTCCATTTTTTTTTTTTTTTTTTTTGGGGGGGGG